GGAGCACTTTCTATCTATTTCTATCTAATTAAAATGATGTAAGCACATTCCAAATCATTAACAGTCACCATTAATGAAAAATATATCACAAGAATAAAACAATTTCGAATCAACTCTTACAACCATTCAAAAAATTAAAACAGTTAAAATTATAGATAGCAATTCCAAAAGTTCTTCCATTCATTGATTAATATAATGCTGAAATTTCCAACAGAATGTTTCCTCATTAAGATCCAATTTATGAACATACATATTATTAGAGCAGTTACCATGCAACTAGTATGGACATCATTAAAAGAATACAAATGATCCATAATAAGAGATGAATTCAGTATCTGTAAAGTAATGATGTAGAGCCTCTGCCCTCAGCTCTGTCTACTAAGGGTATTCACCTTGCTACCATTCTGAGTTCCCATCCCAGGAACAATTCAGACTACACAGTTTTCTTTTTGAAAACCTGAAAAAGGACTCCTCCAGAAGGTCCCAAAGACCTTGATTCAAAATGGCCCCTGAAGTACTTATCTAGACCTTCACTGCTGAGTTTAGAGCACCATAGCCAAGTAGCAAATACTGGACGTTACTCATCCTGCTCACCATCTGTAGGGTTTCCCTATCAGACCAACTTGACATGGCTGCTTAAGACCAAAGATATAACAGCCCAGGGGCAACAGGCCAGAAAGTCTAGCTGTTCTGGCCCTGACCAGAAGGAGCACCCCAAAACTGTGCTGCACTGTGCACATGGGCGTCCCCCAGATTATGTAACTTCATGTGCCAAGGTCCATACACTATCTGAAAAATGCCATCTCTTCTTCTGACACGATAGAACACTCATCTCCTGTGACAGAACACGAGAAAACATAAGAAAGTACAATTTTTAAAAATAAATCCTGTTTTCCTACTGAAAAATTATGGTAATACATGGGGCATGTTCCTCACAGTGATGAAATACTTACAAGCCTTTCAAGATTTGATGAGAAAAAAGATAGATCCATGTGCACTAGCCAGCCAATATTAAGGAAATTGTGGAGATTTCTATTATCCTTAGTCATGGAACAGATCACCTATTTCCAAGTGCTCTGAAGTATTGTTTACCTCGTTACAAAATCACCACTTCAACATGCCCATCATGCGTCCCCCTCCTCAAGGGAGTAGACAATTGACCCTCTCCTCCTCAAACAGAGGGTCTTGATATTTCTAGGTTGTCAACAAAGTTTTCAGGGGTGCATCTTAAACAAAAAACACTAAAGACATTCTATTATGTGTTTCATAGGCTAATTTTTAAAAAAAAATTGACATATTTTTTCTACTTTAATTTTTAAAAGTTCATGCTGTTGACAAATGAGAGAATTATAATAGGAGAGATTACTATATTTTCAATGTTCTTTTCATTCAACAGAAATACGCTAACTCTATGTCGGTTCTTATTTTTATTTAGTTTGACTGGTCTAAGAAGTACAATTCAGAGAGCCCCTTTACAAAATGAGCATTTAGTCTTCTATAACCTTCAGAAACATATTACAAAATTAATTTTCCAAACTCAAGATTTAAAAGAATGGGCTAAAAAATGCAACAACGAAAGTCATGGAAATCAAATAGTATGATTTGCAGGTTGGTTTAATATTTAAGATTAGCAAAGCTGTTATGCAAACGTGTCTAAAAAACTATATCTGAAACAAAAAATAAAAAATGAAGGCATCATGAGGCCCAACCTGTTAGATGGCCTGAAATTGTACTATATGCTAAATGGTGGTGTTTGCTGGCCATTCACGACCTGATGCAATTCCTGTTAGCTCAGTGTGGCAACTGGCGATACTTTGGCATTGCCTCAGAGGAGCCCCTATTAACAGCTATGGGAACAAATTAATTCTCACTTTGTTTTTCATTTTAGTTGTCATTAACAATGCCTCTGCCTTATGGCTCAGCATCTCAGTATTAACTTACAAGCATGAAACAAGAACTTAATCAAGGAATGTTTGGGGATTTACTTTTCAACAGCTGAGATACTGAAGGTGAGGTAAGAGCAAACATTTGTTGGTGGGGGATAGTAATTAGGTTCAGACAGAAGGTAGAGAACTGCAGTGTTAGCTAAATCTGTTCATAGCTGGTGTCTCATCTCAATTAATTATATATATATAATTATATATATATATAATTATATATATATATATATAATTACCCCACAAGAGTGTATAGGGTTGAGGGTTCTTGCAAAAGAGTCCAGACTGAGACCCTCTTGATAGCAGTATTGATATCTTCAAAGATGACAAGTGCTTGTTCCAGAAAATGCTATTTCTCTTGTGCTTTGCAGTTGTTTTCTTCTTCTTCATTATTACTATTATCATTTCTTATTGTTATTCTTCTTTTAAACTATTACCTGCCTCTGCCACAAAGCTATATCCAAGAGGCATGTGTCACCCAAACAATAGAGAATACCCATTCTAAACAGCATGAACCAGTTATAAAGGGGTTATTGTTCACTTATAAAAACCATACATACCATATAAAAGAAAACAGGGCTTTGAGTTGAGAGACAAGATTAGTCGTAACTTTCTTACTGTCCAGATGGAGAACATTATCTATTTATTTGTTTGTTTATTTATTTATTTGAGAGAGAGTGAGCAAGTAGGGGGAAGAGCAGAGGGAGAGGGAGAGAGAGAATCTTAAGCAGGCTCCATGTTCAGCATGGAGCCCCATGCCGGGCTTGATCTCACAACCCTGAGATCATGACCTGAGCAGAAATCGAGAGTTGGACACTTAACTGACTAAGACACCCAAGCTCCCCCAGCTGGATTACTTTAGACATGTAAACATCCAATGTTTCTATTTCCACATCTGTTCGTTGGTGCCCAATGTTCATTCTATAGTCTTATGTAGTGCTTAGAAGAGTTAAACTTTTATTAGTATTTTAAAGTATGGAACTTCTAAGCTGAAATCTTCGTCCCCTTAAAAATTTGAAATTGTTTCTTATTTTTTAGGGCTATAATAAATAGGCCTAACTGGATCCCTACTTTATAAAGATGAGAAAAACTAAGGTGTAGACCAGTGATTTTTTAAGGATCAGCACATCAGCCACCCTGGGAATACAAATGCATAGCCCCACCCCAGACCTGCTGAATCAGAATCTCTTGGGAGTAGGGTCCGCTGAAGAATCTCTACTTTTAACAAGCTCTACCAATGATTCCAACAGTCAATCAAGTCTAGAAAGCATGGGTCTAGACTGCCTGTTGGTTGAGAACAGAGTATAGAGACAGATCCAGGACTAAATCCCACAACCCCTGAATTCTAACCCAGACCATTCTGGCAATCTTTACTTTTAACCTCATTAAAATAAGTACTATTGTTTTCTATACATGTTTTGCTAGTTTAAAAAACATGATAGAATATTACATTGTGTGTATATACCACATCTTCTTTATTCATTTATTGATGGACACTCAGGTTGTTTCCATATCTTGCTTCCATTATCTTCCAAACAATTCTGCAATAAACATAGGGATGCATCTACCTTTTCAAACTATGTTTTTATTTTCTTTGGGAAACACCCAGTAGTGGGATTACTGGATCATATGGTAATCCTATTTTTAATTTTTTGAGGTACCTCCATATTGTTTTCCACAATGGCTGCATCAGTTTGCATTCCCACCAACAGTGCATGAGGATTCCTTTTTCTCCACAACCTCACTAACACTTGTTATTTGTCTTTTTTATTTTAACAATCCTAATAGGTGTGAGGTGACATCTCACTGTGTTTTGATTTGCATTTCCCTGATGATTAGTAATGTTGAGCATCTTTTCATGTGTCTGTTGGACACATGTATGTCTTCTTTGGTAAAATGTCTATTCAGATCCTCTGCTCATTTTTTAAATTTTTTTTTAAGATTTTATTTATTTATTTGACAGAGAGAGACACAGCGAGAGAGGGAACACAAGCAGAGGGAGTGGGAGAGGGAGAAGCAGGCTCCCCACTGAGCAGGAAGCCTGATGCGGGGCTCGATCCCAGGACCCTGAGATCATGACCTGAGCCGAAGGCAGACGCTTAACGACTGAGCCACCCAAGCGCCCCTCCTCTGCTCATTTTTAATTCGATTATTTGTGGGGTTTTTTGGTGTTGAGTTATATAAGTTCTTTAAATATTTTGGATATTAACCCTTTATCAGATATATCATTTGCAAATATCTTCTCTGATTCCATAGGTTGCCTTTTTGTTTTGTTGATAGTTTCCTTCACTGTCCAAAGCTGCTTTTTTTTTTTTTTTCTTGGTATAGTCCCAATATTTTAATTTTACTTTTACTTCCCTTGACAGAGGAGAAATCACTAGAAAATTGTTTCTACACCTGCTGTATAAGAAATTACTGACTATGTTTTCTTCTAGGAATTTTCTGGTTTCAGGTCTTACATGTAGGTCTTTAATCCATTTTGAGTTTATTTTTGGAACCACAAAAGAGCTTGAATAGCCAAAACAATCTTCAGAAAGAAGAACAAAGCGAGAGGTATCACAATCTCAGATTTTAAGATACGCCACAAAGCTGTAGTAATCAAAACAGTATTTTACTGGCACAAAAACAGACACATAGATTAATGGAAAAGAATGGAGAGTCCAGAAATAAGCCTATGCTTTTATGGTCAATTAATCTATGACACAGGAGGCAAGAATATTCAATGGGAAAAAGACAGTCTCTTCAAATGGTGTTGGAAAAGCTGGACAGCTACATTCAAAATAATGAAAGTGGACCACTTTCTTATACCATGCAGCAATCTTGGATTTTAACCTCAATATTTGGAATAAGTACTATTATTTTCTATACATGTTTTACTATCTAAAAAAATCAAGAAACACTGCAATCAGAAACAAAAAGGTACTGGTTTTCTTTCTTCACTATTTCACAAGAGTAGAGCTCCTCAGGTTTTTTTCTCAAGAACAAGCAGTGAGAAATAGAAAAACCTATTGTGTTTTCCTACCTTAAGATGTTGGCAACCTACATTCTAATTTAGTTACTTACCTAGCTTTCTTATCACGTTGTCTTCTGTCATTGTGAAACACATTCTATCAGAAACAAAACAGAAAAATAACTGCTTAAGGATTCACTGTGTGCTAGAAATTGTGTCTAATCAAATTGAATTAAATTTCTTTCCAAATAAAAACAGTATGTATCAAGGACCAGACCAAAGTATTTAAAGAATTTAAGAGTTACCAAAAAAACAAAAACAAAAAAAACAATTTAACACAAAGATAATATATAACTCAATAATAAATAACTCAATACAAAAATAAAGGTGGGTGAAGGGTGGACTACAGTAAGACAATAACAGGTAAGTACTTTTTTAAAGATTTATTTATTTGAGAGAGAGAAAGAGAGAATGCACACAAGCAGCGGAGGAACAGTGGGAGAGGGAGAGAATCCTCAGACTTCATGCTGAGCATGGAGTCTGAGGTGGAGCTCGATCCCAGGATCCTGAGATCATGACCTGAGCCAAAATCAAGAGTTGGATGCTTAACGGACTGAGCCACCCAGGTGCCCCAACAGATAAGTACTTTCAATCAATTTACCAAATTTTTCTGTTATACCAAATTGTACCCATGTATTTGGGCCTTTAAAAAGACAGCCTAATGTCTAGAATAACTGAAATCAGTGTGATTGGCTTGGAAAGGCTATGAGGAAACTAAATAATTTAGCAGAGGTTGAGAGAGAAAAAAAAAATTAAGATTCAATCAACGATTTAAAGAGAGATACTGGTTAAGGTCAATAGTGTATGATATTCAAGACCAGCTCCTAGACAAAATCATGAGGCAGCCAAATTTGCCATTGCTCTTCTCCTGGCCCTTGGTGACTATTGACTCTCCAGGGTTTTTCCACTATTATGCTCACTGGACATCCATGTAGTAATCAGAACACTTTGGTTGTATGTGACAGAAAACCAACTCAAATAAGCTGAAGTACCACAGGTATTGAGAGACAGGGAGGCTCAAAGAATAAGCAGTCTAGGGGTAAAATTAGTTTTAGGCATGACTGGTTTTTAAGAACTTACATGAATTTTTACTCCTTTTTTGCTCTGCCCCTATCTAAGCTCTGCTTGACTCTGAGTTGACTTTATTTTCATATAGGCTCTTTCATCATGATGACAAAATAACTTCCAGAAACTCCAGCTTTTGTTTTGACCTCTCAACAACACTAGCCTAGAGACTCCTCATTAGCCCTAACTAGCTTGTTGTGAATCACACACTCATTGCTTGGCAAATTACTGTGGCCAGGCATGTAATGATTTTATTGAGCAAATCTATGTCAAGAATTCCCCTGGGACTGGGGCATATAAACCTTAACTGAATGAAGAGTGGTAGAGAGTTGGTTTTCCCTGGAAAATCAGGGTGACCTTAGCCAAAAAAAAAAAAAAAAGAGGGGAAATAAATATTAGATCAAAACAAGTATCCACTAAAGCCTATAGTTCTGGACAGTGATCTAGGATTCAGACCCTTCCTTACCAGAAGAGAGTCTTACATTTAATTTTTCTTGGTGCTCCTAAGTGAGTAAATCTCTTTACATACAAACTGTACCATTATAGCTTCAATATGATAGCCTAGGAAATTCAGGCAGGGAATACTCTGGTCTTCCTTACTACAATCTCTGCTTAGGAACTCCCAATAATGGTGGTCATATTACTGTGATCACATGTAATTAAAATTTTCTTTCTTATGTTGAACTGGTCATCTACCCCTCTATGGTTAGCCATTAATTTTTCCCTTTGGAGCATCCAAATTATGTCTATTATGTGTTCTACATGGTAGATCTTCACGTGTCTAATGGCAGGTTTATTCAACTGCTGTGCATATGACATGATTTCCAGAAATTTGACACCCAACTATCTGTTTATTTATGCCCATTTTATCTCCAGTGTTATGCTATTCTTTTTCTCCTGGACTTCATTTTGGTTGAGACTTAGATTAGAAGATTTTTTTTAGTGCTTCTGTTGTTTTTATTTTACTTGTTTGTTTACATAGTCTCTGAAAGTCAAGGAAGTAAAAGTTCAACCAAGAGTAAGCAAAGAATTATTATCTCTTCATATCATTTCTCATTGCCTATAGGCTTCCTATGTGGGAGAACAATAGAAATATACCAATTTCAGCTGTGAAACAAAAATATTCTGCATTCTTGTATAATTTTTTTCTCATTTCATGTATCAGGCTGTTCTACTTCAAAACAAATAAACAAGCAATTTGAGTCTTATAGAGACTGTATACTTTATAATCTTGGAGTCTACAAAAAATTTATTTATTGCTGCAAATGGCTGGATTCCTGCTTGTGTGCCATGGGAACTGAATTTCTGCCCTAATGTTTTGTCACATCTTCAGTATACTTACCTCTGTAGGAGTGGTGTGTATTCACAATTATATTATTTGAAAAGAATCTTTGTACTGGAAAATCCCATTGAGATGTAGCATCACATTTCCAAGGGTGTCTTGGGACAAGAAAGAATGGGGCAGTAATATACAACCACTTGGTTACATCATTCATACCAGAGAAATTATCATCCTACTGCTGATGGGGAACACTTGTACTTCTCTATTATCAAAGATTTTGCAGAAGTGCTCAGCCCCCTCTATTCATTTCATTCCAGCTGTTCTAACACAAGGAATGAAACAGATTGTTTCATTCTCTAAGTGTACATTAAAAAGGACAATGCCATCATTTGGGGGGCTTTTGAAGGGGTTTTTGCTCAATTTGGACTGTGTGTGGAGCAAGCTCACTGCCTTACAACAAAAGCATAAAACTCAGTGGTGACAGGCAAGTCAAAGGCTAAAGAATTCGTTAAAAGGAAGAAGCCCTAAATGTTCAGCCATAAACAACAAGAGACATCAGAAAGGAAGCAGGGAAAAGGTAAAGGAGACCGTGAGAAGGAATGTGCACTGGCTCAGCACTGCATCCTTTTATAATCCTTTGGGAAAACTCACTCATAGGGCTCCAACGGCTCTTTCCTGAATTTGTCCTACATCAAAGAGCCACAAGCTTGCTCTAGCTTGAGCTTGTTTTTAGTACATTTTAAGAGTACACAATTTTTTTTTATACCAAAATGTTAAAATTGTTTTAAGCCAAGTATCTGGTACTTTCTTGCCATGTGATCTTGAAGCATAAGCCTTGTCCTGTCCTTGGAAATCTTAGAAATTTTCATATGATATTCTTGCTCCATCTTACTTTCTGTATAAAGCACAAACATCTACCAGCCTTTCTCATTCTCCTCCTTTAACTTCCTATTCCTGTTCTTTTTTTTGAATGTCAAATATGTGAATACATACTTTTGTCCCCTCTCACCATACCAATGGCAGCGATTGAAAGTTAATCATGGAAATCTTATGGTGTATGAATTATTTTCAAAATATATAACATGAAGTCACCACAGCAGAGTTGAAAAATGAGATGAAACATGTTCACATCCTGGATCAGGAATATGTAGACTCATGAAACTAGAAAGTTCTCAAAATACTTCTGTGATGTGAAATTTTGTGAAAAACATCTTTACACTTGGTCAATAATGATGGCAAAACTGATTCTCAATTCAAGATCATTGTAGAAGGAAATATTTTAGAAATATTATATCTTCAGTTTGGCTCATCGTTTAATCCCCAGGTATATATGGATTTAGTACTTGAAGATTCCCATTGATTTTTGAAAGATTTTCAGACAATTTTTAAGTGTTCTAAGCTATACAAAGGAATATAGTCTCTTCATTTGCTTCTTCTTCCCCCTACCCACATTTCAGTCTCAAGATCTTTTCTAGTGTTAACAGGAGGATTTGGTTTCACCTGTGAAGGGAGATACAATTTGTGACTTCTATTTGGAAAGTTCTCTTTTGGGTGGCTGGTCTATTGGATCATATCCCATCTCACTCTTCCTTCCCACAATACTAATGAGTCTGGGATCTTCTTCCTTCTAACTGAAAAACAAAAACAAAAACAAAAAGAATCCTTGAAGCTCACACATGGTCAATTTTTGCTCATAGGGCATTTGGTAGAGGTTGCCTGGATGTTGATGCCTGGATGCTGATGGCTGCTGACTAATCAGGGTGGTGGTTGCTGAAAGTTGGGGTAGCTGTGGTCATTTATTTTCTTTGGGAGGGGGGCTTTTCTTAAAATAAGACAACAGGGAAGCTTTTCTCATCAATTGACTCTTCCTTTTATGAACAATTTTTCTGAAGCATGTGATGCTGTTTAACTTTACAGTTTTCAAAATTGGAGTCAATCTTTTCAAACCTTACTGCTGCTTTATTACCTAAGTTATATAATATTCTAAGTCCTTTGTTGTCATTTTAACAGTTTTTATACATCTTTGCCAGTAGTTTCCATCTTGAGATGCTCATCCATAAGATGAGCTCATCTATAAGAATTAGATGCTCATCCAGAAGATGCCCATCCAGAAGAAGCAACTCCTCATCCATTCAAGTTTTATTGTGAGACTGTAGCAATTCAGTCACATCTTCAGGCTCCACTTCTAATTCTAGTTCTCTTGCTCTTTTCACCATATCTGCAATTACCTCCTCCACTGAAGTCTTGACCTCTCAAAGTCATCCAGGAGGGTTGGAATCAACTTCTTCCAAACTCCTGTTCATGTTGACCTGTTCCCATAAACCACAAGTGTTCTTAATGGAATCTAGAATGGTGAATCCTTCCCAGATTCTCAAAAGACTTTTTTTCTAGATCAATCAGAGGAATCACTACCTATAGCAGCTATAGTCTTATGAAATATATTTCTTAAATAATAAGACTTGAAAGTCAAAATTACTCTTTGATCTATGGGCTACAGAATGGATGTTGTATTAGCAGTCATGTACACAGCATTAATCTCATTGTATATCTCCATCAGAGCTCTTGGGTGACCAGGTGCATTGTCTGTGAGCAGTAATATTTTCAAAGGAATCTTTATTTCTGAACAGTATGTCTCAACAGTAGGCTTAAAATATTCAGTGAAACATGTTGTAAATAGATGTGCTGTCCTCCAGGCTTTGTAGTTCCATTTATAGAGCATAAACAGAGTATATTCAACATAAGTATTAAGG